GCGTGATGCGGGAGGAGGCAGGAGGACCGGTCTAGCCAAGGAGCCTGTTTTTGTTTCTTTCCAAAGAAGAGAGATGTGGCTTCAGGCCATCACCACCTCAACGCACAGATGCTTGAGTTGGCATCTTAGAGGAAGCCCCAGGGCATCGGTTAACAAGATGCCCCGAGGCATTGGTTAGCAACGGCTCTGGGCCCTGGCAGGGTCTCCCTTCTCCCCACTGCCCTGTGACATGTGGCTTCTCCACCGAACAAGACTGTTTGCCAGCCTGCCTGTTTGTTCCTGCATCAGACATTTCCCGAGCACCTACTAGGGCACCGGAGAGACAACCAGGGTGGGTGTAGCCTGGTGCCTGCCCTTTGGAAAGAAGGAGAAAGATCGAAATAGTGATAAGAAGGAAGCAGGAGGGTCTCGAGAGGACAGAGAGAGGAAGTGCTGTGGCAGTTCCAGGTGGGGAGATGTCACTTCCTGCTGGGGGATGGAGATGGGGACAGGATCTGAATTTTTACCCTTTGGACCACTTGTCGTCTCCTAGGCGACAGGTGGGATTTTTGTTCAAGCCGAGACATTTCCCGGGAGGAATTTGCCCCCTGCCTTTTGCAACCTCCTTTCTGGGTGTTTCGGGCCCTTGACGGTTGGGCTAGAAGGTGCTCATTTTCCAGGTGGCCTTTGGGATCGCACACTCGGGTTTGTTTTTCCTGTGCCCTTCACCGTTAACTAGGAAAAACAGTGGAAAGTGCAGCCGTCCTGTTAGCAAACGCAGTCACGTGGCCGCGGCTGCCTGTTTGCTCATCCCTTTTTTTCTCTCTTCTCCCTGTTGCTTGTCTCCGGCCTGTCTCCCACGGCTGTGCCAACAGGTCCTGGATGACCCCACTGAGGACCATCTGTACATGGGTAAGACTCGAGCCCTTGCCTTCTGTCACCCTCGCTCAGGCAGCTCCCGCCAAGGACAACTTCCCCTTTCCCGCTCCAGCTGGGCCCCGCAGTGAGCCCCGTAGAAGGCTGCACCCCTGATTTGAAACAGGAGGTAGAATGGAGTTCTTGCTAAGACTTTCTTCATCTCTCTCCATTCCTTTGCAAATATTTATCGAGCGCCTGCTATATGCTGGGCACTGCACTAGCCACTGATCAGTATGAAAGGCGAGGCCCTACCCTTGTGACGCTGACCTTCTAGTCAGGGAAGACAGGTCGTCGTCAACTAAATAAAACATAACTTCAGATAGGTGCTCTGAAGGTTAAGTAGGGTGACGTGGGAGAGTGAGATGGAGGGGATGCTTCAGATAGGAGGTGCCTGTTCAGCACTTGCATGTCAAGGACGTAGTGCCTCTTTCTAGGCAGAGGGAACAGCAGGTACAAAGGCCCTGAGGCCAGTGGGAGCTTAGTGTGTTTGAGAGAAATATGGCTGGGGCAGAGTAAACCAGAGAGAGGGGGGGGGTTGAGGATAGAGGGCCCAGGAGGCTAAGGTGGGGCATCTGGAGCCTGCGGGGACCATCGAAGGGTCTGGGCACTGCTCACAGAAATGGAAAAACTCAGGTGTGTCCTCAGAGATCTCATTTTTTAGAAATGGTGAGGACGTGGGGCAGCCCTCAGTCACTTCTCAGCATAAAGGCTGCTGAGGGCAGGCTAATTCAAAACTGGGCAGCAGGGTGTTGGGCCCAGGAATAGGTGATCGGCAGGTCACGTGTCTTGGTACTGTCTGGCCTGGGTGGGCATTCAGACGAGTCCGTGCATTTTGAGCAGGCCCAGATGACGGCCAGGAAGGGCATCAAAGAGATGATAGGGGTCGGCACGGCCAAGGCCAGCCTGGAATCAGGGCTCTCCCGGATGAGCATGGGGATGATCCTTTCTGCACAAGGAGTGATCGATCATAAAGTAATGAATATGATTTGAAAATAGAGCTCAGAGTTCGACTTCCCCTATTGCGGCTGCTATGGTTCCCTTTTGAGGATGCTGTTGTTGCTTTGGATGTTTTACTTTTTATTTCTCCTCCGGGTTTTTAGTATGAAAAATGTTAAGCCTACAGAAAAGTTGAAAGAATACTGTAATGGATACTTGTATACCTACTACCCAGATTCAACAGTATCTTTTCGTCATGTTTGCTTGATCCGTCTAGCCACCCATCCATGCATTTCTCTGTATTTTTTTGCTGAACTGTCCAAAAGTGAAGTAGCAGATGTCATCACCTCTGAAGAAGTCAATGCTAGTTCCTTAAGAGCATCTCGTATTCTAAGGGCAGTCCATGTTCAAATTTTAGAACTCTTAAACAACTTCCGTTACAGACAATTTAGAAGTTGTACAGTGAATAACATCAGATATGTTAACTCGAAACAATTACGGAGGAAATATTATAAAGATGTGAACATTACAGAATCGCAATATTTCCCAAATGTGGTACTATCACCACTTTAAATACATGAGACAATTTTAGGTGGCACACAGACAAACATTTAAAAAGAATTTTTAGATTTAATTTACTGTTGTATAAGAAAAACTATAACCAGCACAGTAAAAGCACAATTTCGTGGATATCATTACCTAAGATATCATTACCTAAGGCTAACAATTTTAAAACTGAGTCTATTTAAAGAGAAATATCAAATAATAGTTTACATGGTACATAGATACAGCCAGATTATGAACGCGGTAGGCAAATAAGTGAAGTTTGGGGAAATATAGCGGAAATCATAAAGTGTAAAAGGTAGTTTTTGGCCCAGAATGGCATCTTCAGGCTAATTCACTCACTCAGGGCCCCAGACCTGACATGGCTTTGGGCTGTTTCTGAGGAGGTGGTTTGTTCATTCAACAAACATTACAGTTCGTCAGGCCCTGTTCCAGGTTCCTTAGTGAACAAAACTCAAAAGGCCCTGCCCTTGGGGTATTTTATCGCTCTAGTGAGGACAGACAGACGCTCAGTCACTGAGCATTTTGTGTAGGCTTCGAAGGTGACAACACCGTGGAGAAAAGAAACCCAGCAGGGTCAGGGAGCCAGGAGTCCGGGATGGGGGACCGGGAAATAGAGCGGCTCCTCCGGATGCCTCACGGAGGTGACATTTGTGCAGGACAGTGGGGACCAGGTAACAAGGACATTTTACCGCCTCGTGAGACCTTGTCTTTCACTCTGAGCGAGAAGAGAGCCATTGCGGGGGCCGAGCAATGGGGTCCAGTGATATGTATCAAAAGAACACCGCCCAGATCCTTGGGAGGTCACCTGAGTTTGAACCTGGAGAGAGTTTTTCACTCCTCGAGGTGCCGCTGTGACAAGGAGCCATGCTGCCCTTTGGTATTTGATTCCAGAAGTTCTGGAAATCTTTCCGGGGTACATGCAAGGCCCACAGCAGGTATGGGTAAGGGGCCTGCAGCTGCAGATGTGACCCTCAGAGGGCCGAGAACGTGATCAGCATTTCTAGAGGTTAAAAAATGTCCCACCGGCCGCTCAGCCCCAAGCGTGATTAAGCCGTTAGTGACTGCAAACAGACCTGTTTCCGCAGGCCAGCTTCCCCCATGCCAGCGACTTGAGGGGACTCGGGGGCTCTGGTGGGTGGGAGGAAGGTGCAGAAATTCCTGAAGCTCTGGTGGGTGGGAGGAAGGCGCAGAAATTCCTGAAGTGCCTCTTGAAAGCTGACACTTACAGAACCCAGGCGGGTTAGGCCAGAGCGGAGCGACCAGCGAGCCTGTCTGTGGGAGCCTTTCAGTGCTGTGGCCCTTGATTTTGCCACAGCCTGAAGCCGCGGTGGATCCACCCTGCCTCCGGGTTTGCCGGGTGCTAGTTGATGAACCTGAGGACGTGGGGTGGGCCCGGGGGTGCCAAGTTCCTTTTCTGGTTAGAGCTGTTAAGCCTTCCTTTTGTCTGAGGAGCTGGCTCATTCCCCTTGGCTACCTCAGCCCTCGGGACCTTTGAGGAATCCTTTGCTTTCTTCCATACGCTCACTCTAGTTTGGGTCGATGATTCCGGAGCAACAAACAACTCCAAAGTCATTCTCTCCTGGATTTCGAAATCCACCATACCATTTTTTCACTTCTCACAATACAGCTTTACATTTGTACAAGCAGAACAAAATTAAAATAACTATGCCATATGACCCAGCAATTCCATTCCTAGGTCTGTACTCAAGAATCGAAAACAGACATCCATACAAATACTCGTGCATAAATGTTCACAGCAGCATCATTCACCATAGCCAAAAGGTGGAAACAACCCAAATGTCCATCAACTGATGATGGATAAACACAATGTGGTCTGTTCATGCAATGGAAGCTTATTCAGCCATAAAAAGGAAGGAGGTACTAATAAACACTACAACAAGGATGAACCTGGAAAACATTACACATTAAGTGAAAAAGCCATTCACAAACGGTCACATAATCATATGATTTCATGTATATGAAATGTCCGGAATAGGCAAATCCATAGAAACAGAAAGCAGAATAGCAGTTGCCAGGGCCTGAGGGGCAGGCTGGGGTCGGGGTGCAGGGGCTGGATAGGGAGTGACTACTAATGGCCACAGGATTTCACCTGGGGCGATGAAAATGTTCTGGAACTAGACAGAGGTGCTGGTTGTACAACATCTTGAATACTAAAAGCCACTGAATTATATGCTTTATAGTAGTGAAATTTTATATTATGAAAATTTCACCTCGATTTTTAAAATGCAAAAAAACAACAAACAAACAAACAAAAGAAACCACACTTACAAAAAAAACCCAAAACCTAACCACCAAAAAAACTGCATTCCCTCAACACGGTGTATCTAGTACTTGGTGAGGGCGCTGGTTCCCGTATCCACAGGGCTGGGAGGAAGCTGACACGTGCGAGGCATTTGCATGTCGTGTATGAACATGAGTCCAGTGAGCTCCGTGGAGGAGGAACGGGCGGAGTTGGCCTTCGAGGTGGGGAGGAAGTCCCTAGCCGCGCCGCTAGCTCCGAGCCTTGGTGTGGGCTGAGGGTCGGGGGAAAGGGCGCGAGGGCCAGCCGACCACAGGGCGTGGGGGAGTTGGAATCGTACTGTCCATCCGTTCTGGGTCCGTAGGCTGACACAGCCTGGCAGCTTGGAGAACTAGGTAGGAGTTGTTGAAAGCCGTTCATGCTGTTTCTTGAATCGAAACATTCCTAGGGTTCTGAAGACCCTTAGGGCTACTTCTTTGTGCCTAAGTAAATCGATATTTGGATTGTGTCCCCTTAGACCTGACGGTATAGCATCAGTTGTATCCCTGGAAACTGAGTTATGGGTGGAGAGGAACCCGTGAGCTGACCCCACCCGTTTCCAGTCTCCTCGCTTTGTTTCTTTGGGTCCCAGGAACATCAGAAATCTGACCCCTGGCCTCTTGACGGGAACTTACAGGAGCAGGGCTTTGAGTGGCTTTGGTTTGGTGGACTCTCCTCTCCAGTCCCAGTGTTAGTTTCTATGCTTCTTGGTGTTTCCGGAGGTGGTTGGGAGGTGGGGACGATGGGGAGGAAGGCGGAGTTCCCATTTCCCAATGTAATAATTCCCCCCTTCTCTTCTCTACAGTGTTTGAACTGGTCAACCAAGGGTGAGTGTCCCCACCTCCAGTGGGTGCGATGCCCGAAGCCTGTGAGAGAGGGCAGAGGCCGAGGTGTCTGGTTTGCTTCTCACACGTGTGTCGACCTTTCAGGCCTGTGATGGAAGTGCCCACCCTCAAACCGCTCTCCGAAGACCAGGCTCGATTCTACTTCCAGGATCTGATCAAAGGCATCGAATACTGTAAGCGGGGCCTGTGGGCGGCGTCCCTCCCAGGGGCGGTTAACATTCCCAGGTGGTGGGGAGAAAGTGGGAAGTTTCCTATTTCCCTCCTGGAGCACAAGGAGGTGGGTGGGAAACAGAACTGTCTGAGACGCAGGGTCACAGGCAGCTGCAGAGAACCCCTCCTGTGGCAGCCGAATCTCTTCTTCCTGTCGCACAGGAAAATGAAGAGCAGTGGTGATAATGACCATTTATCTGTGGGTACCAGGCACCGTCAGGGGCTCTGCTTGCATCATCCCTTACGCCCAACAATCCTGGGATTCCTTTTAACCTCCTGGAACCTTAGTTTCCTCGTCTGTAAAATGGTAAAGTGTCTCTCATCAGGGCTGAAATCAGCCAGCGCGCATCAGTGGTTCTGATTGACAGGTGTCTGTTCTGCTCCTGGTGATCAAACATTTCCGCTCTTATCCTGTCACATAGGATTGTTATGAGATTTAAATGGGGTAAATGGGAAGCACTCAATACAGGGAGCTGCTGCTTCTGTTGCCCATATCGTCATTTCCTGCATCCTCCTCCTCCTCTTCCTCGTCACCGCCACAAAAATGCAGTTGGGTCTTGCAGGCCATAGGCTTGTCCTCTCTCGTGGGCTGCCATCCAGGCAGGAACAGTTAGCCAAGTCCCCAGTCCTGCCCTGTGGTTCTCACTCCAGATCAGTCTGCTCCAGCCATTGTCGGTTTGGTGAGCAGGTCGAGCGTCGACATTAGCAAATGAAAATATGTTTGACGGTCACAGTCTTGAGGCTTCTAGCTGGGAGCCAAGCTCCACAAAAACTCCCCATGCTCTGTCACCAGCGACAGACCATAGCAGACAGTTCCTAATTGCCATTGGCAGTTGGTGTTTCACTCATTTTTGAGGATGGGGACATCCTTAAAGATACTTTTTTCCCCTTATCTTTTAGAGCCCTGGGTGTCCAGCAGGTCTGGGAGGGGGAGGATGGGAAGGGCCTGGGGCCGTGGGAGAGCAGGGGGTCCATGCCTGTGTCTCTGGCTGCCTGGGCCACGTGGAGCTTCTCACATGCTTTTCCTGCCCCCTCTCTCCCATCCGGTGTTTACCCCACCCCCAGTACACTACCAGAAGATCATCCACCGGGACATCAAACCTTCCAACCTGCTGGTTGGAGAAGACGGGCACATCAAGATCGCCGACTTCGGCGTGAGCAATGAGTTCAAGGGCAGCGATGCGCTCCTCTCCAACACCGTGGGCACGCCTGCCTTCATGGCGCCCGAGTCACTCTCAGAAACCCGGAAAATCTTCTCTGGGAAGGTAGGTTTGGACCTGCCTGAGATGCCGAGTACGTCTGTGTTAGGGTCCTCTCAGTTATAAGTGGCAAAACTCCAACTCAAGCTGGCTTAAAGAATGAATTCTTGTAGATGAGTGGAGTACATTTGGCTTCAGGCATGGCTAGATACAGAGGCTCAAATAGGATTACGTCTCTCCATCTCTTAGATCTTTCTTCCTGAATTAGTGTTCTTCCCAAGTGGGTTGGTCCTAGCAGCTTGGGGCTACATTCTATCAGTTGACCAACCTCAGTAGAAAGATCATTCATTTTCCCGAAGAGCTCCAGCAAAAATGCTGGGATTAGCTCTGATTAGCCCAGCATGGGTCATGTGCCCATCCTTGGACCAATTACAGTGGCTGGGGGAAGTGGTACTCTTATTGGTCAGTCCTGGGTCATGTGCCCATCCTTGAACCAATTAGGATGGCTGGGAGCGGTAGTACTCTTACTGGTCAGTTCTGGGTCATGTGCCCACCCAGAGGCTGGAAGCAGGGTCAGCCCCACCTCAATTTCATGGACTGAGAGTCAAGGAGAGGTGGTTCCCCAAAGGAAAGCTGGAGGCGTGAACGCTGGACATGCAAAAGCAGTAGACATCCTTCACTGCCCTTTGTCCCCTGACATGAAGCTCTTCTTTTTCTTACAGGCCTTGGACGTTTGGGCCATGGGTGTTACGCTGTACTGCTTTGTGTTTGGCCAGGTAACAGGGTGGGGGTGTCCTGCCTCCTGAGTGTGGCTGGGTGGCCCCCCGGGATTGATAGTTACCTTTGCAGGGAGGCAGTACTTATTCATGAAAATATATTTTATTTCCACAGTTAGATTTGAATATGAAAAAGGATGCCTTCTCAAATGTACATATCTATGTAAGACAGTCATATCTGTGAAAAAATGATCTGTTAAAATAGAAGGATTGGCAGCAGCTCTAGAGGTTGTAAATAGTCGATAGATTTAGAGCAAGGAAAACAAATGTGCCACCTCTCCTCACTCCTAAACCCAAGACAGAATAACTAATCAATAACTGCAGTCCTTCCACGTACTGCTGTGATGTCCTTCTCAACAGTGTTCCTAGAAGCTGTTGGAGGGATAGAATTGCGATGGAAGTTAAAATCCATTTGGGTTTATTGGTTTAGGGTGTGCTGTTTTTTTTTTGTTTGTTTGTTTGTTTTGCCATTCTTTTGTTGTTGTTTTTATATTATTGATAATTAGGGGCCTTCTGTTTTTAACTCTAGTAAAGTTCAGAATGATTATGTGAGCAATAAATGTGGATTTTTCCTTTTCATGAGCTTGTGCTTCTTTTGAGGAAAGCTTCAGAAATTGGTCCTGTGAGGGTATAAAGGAGAAATCTCCTCCTCCCAACATTTGATCGGGAAAATTTTCAATCAGATAGCAAAGTTGAAAGAATTGTGTAGTAAACACCCACACAGCTGCCACCTGGATTCTTCCAGAAACATTTTACTGTACTTACTTGCGATAATGTCTATCCATCCTCAATCTGTCTTATTTTTTTTTTTTTTACACAGAGTAACTTACTAACATCTCTATACTTCCTTCCAAATGCTTCAGGGTACGACCATTAGCTAGAGCTCACTATTTGTTTGCGGTTCTCTCTCTTTTTTTCCTTTTGTAGTAAAATTGACGTAGAATGAAATGTACAGATCTTAACTGTACTATTTAATGAGTTCTGTCAAATGGCTATACTTATGTAATCCCAAATCCTATTCAAGTTACTGCTTAGTGAAATAATTTTCCTTGGGTAGGCCCAGACCAGGTCACTTTCTGAGACTTTTTCTAACTTTCTAAGTACCCACGTAAAGATATCTTTTTCCTGTACAATGCCTGTGCTCCTGGATTTGTCACCCAGATTCTTCCTGACATTGATTTGTCACCAGAAAGTGATGCATGTACAGGCTGCAGAATCAGCCCAGTCTAGGCTTAAATCTTAGGTTTGCGCGTCCCAGAACACGTCACCTGCCTGAGCTTCTGGTTTTTTTCTTCTGTGCAATGAGAATAATACTTATTATTTCCTACGGCTTCTGAGAGGATCGATAGAAATAATTCAAGCACTCAGCAGGTATTTATTGAGCTCCTACTTTGTGTCAGGAAGCACTGAGGAGTCAGCAGTGAACAAGGCAGACAAAAATCCTGGCCCTCTTGGAGCTGACATTCCAGTGCAGGAGTTAAAACAGTAAACAAACGCATATGTAATACAAAGGTGCTATAATGAGAAGTCACGTGCCAACGGGGGTGGGTGGGGTGTGTCTGTTTCAGACAGGAGCTCAGGAAGGCCTCCCTGGGAAAGTGAGCTTCCCTCAGACATCTGAATGGTGCGAGAACACAAGCCGGGCAGGTAGTGGTGGAAAGAACATTCCAGGCAGAGGTACAGCCAACGAAATGTTGGTCCTGAGAAACCTTAGTACAGGGCCTGGCCCAGGCCAACCGCTCACAGATCTCAGCTGTTGCTGTGACATCTTTTGTATCGTTCTTGGTATTACCATTCACCTGACAGGTGGGTGTAGACGAGCATTTGCTTTTGTATAAACAGGTAAATTAAGTCACAGCTACAGAGGAAAGCTGCAGTGTGGTGGGAAGGGCTCTCACCTCGCTTAGAAGGACATTCCTGGTCCTTTCTAGAACTTAGGATGGAAACTGCTCCCTCCCTAGACCAGGCCACTGGGCCATTTATTTCTCTGTTGTAACCCATGTAGAACGACGCCAGCGCAGGGTGGCCTTTACAGGACAAGTGTGCCAGCCACTGACGGCCACTCTGATCTCTCTTCACAGTGCCCGTTCATGGACGAACGGATCATGTGTTTACACAGTAAGATCAAGAGTCAGGCCCTGGAATTTCCAGACCAGTGAGTATCGCCCAGCTCTCCTGAGGCACCTCTTTGCCTGAGCCCTTGGTGGTCCTTTGTGTCTGTCTCCCACCCCTGACGTGTCTCCCACCCCCAGGCCCGACATAGCCGAGGACTTGAAGGACCTGATCACCCGCATGTTGGACAAGAACCCCGAGTCGAGGATCGTGGTGCCGGAGATCAAGGTACCCAGGGGCCACTACTGCCTGTGGGACGTGTGCCGGGGGCTTGGCCTGCGTCCTCTGCTTGGAATTGTTCGGCTCAATCCTGCCTTGGCCAGACCCCCCGCCCCACAGTGCCACCTTCTCTTTGGCACAGCTGCTCTCCCATGCCCTGGGGCCTCTAGGCTGCTGGGAGCTGGTGGGGGTGGGGGGTGGGAGGAGGATTTGGGGCTTATGTTCATGTGATTGTGCAAGGGATCTTCTGCCAGCTGGGCAGCTAGTGCTCACTCCAATTGGCTTGGGCTGATGGCATCTACCCTCCCCGGACCAGACGAGATGGGGCTCTGTGTCCCATGCCCTGGCCCGGGCCCTTGTCTTGACGCCGCCCATCCCTTTGAGAAATTGCAGTGAGGATGGGAGGAAGTTAGGGAGCAGTGAGACCCAACCCCTACCCTGGCCTGCTGAATTTCACCCTGTTGCAGAAAGCAGGGTTAGGAGAGACCTTCATTCACTGCTAACACCCCAGTCAATGCCGCACACACATCTGGCCCTTTAAGAAACCTAGAGATTTGTTTTGAGACCTCCTACGCACCTAGCTAACTAGTATTGGAAGAGGGGGAAGCCCAAAAAGTTATAAATAAGGGCTTGGACCCCAGGGGTGGTTGGCGGGGGGGGGGCGGGCAGACCCCTGCCTGGATCCTCTCCTGGTCGTGTCCTTCACAAAGGTGGTATGTGGTCACTGTACCTCCCCGAGCCTCTGTTTGCCCTTCTGTGAAATGGAGAGGTTGCTGCCTGCTCTGAGCTGAGCCTCTCAGGCATTGGGGAGTGTGGTCAAGGAGTGATAGGTGCTCCCCTGGCAATCGTGCAAGACAGATGCCAACTTCCAGTCGCTTCTGCCAAGACCTGGGGCCAGAGAATCCGGTCCATGCACATCCCAGCCCTGTGGCTCCTTCCCATTCTCTGTCTCTCACCTTTTCCACGTTTCCTCCCATCCTGCTCACCCCCACCCTCCGCCTGGCTTGACAGCTCTCTCGCATGACTGACCTCAGGCCACTGCCTCTCCTGTCCCTGCATCCCTTCCCTGGCTCCGTTCTCCTGCCTCTGGGAGCCAGCTGCACCTGCCCCTCACCCCTCCTGTCATTCGTTGAAGCTGCACCCCTGGGTCACGAGGCACGGGGCGGAGCCGTTGCCATCGGAGGACGAGAACTGCACGCTGGTCGAGGTGACCGAAGAGGAGGTCGAGAATTCGGTCAAACACATTCCCAGCCTGGCGACCGTGGTAAGGCGGGACGAACCACTGACCAAGAGCAGGGACAGAGAGAGCCTGAGGCCGGCCCAGCGTGGATGGCCCAGGACACAGGCGGGCATCTGAGAAGCAGATGTCGGGCCTGAGAGTCAGTGGATGGCAGAGTCTGCCTCTGACCCGCAGCCGCCAGCCTCTGGGCCTTCGGCACACATAAGGCCAGCTGGCCCCTTCGTCTTCTAGCTTTAGTTCTATCTGCAGCCAGGTCCATCTTACAGCAGAGAGGGGTAGCCCCTCTCCGAGGATCCTCCCACCCCTTCTGGGGGTCTTTTCGGAGCATGTCGCGGGGAGCGGGAGGAGGAGGGCCCGGGTGGGTGCTGGGGATGGAGTGTAGCCGAGGTCTCTGAGACAGGTGTCCCCCCTGGCTGGATCTCCAGTTTCCGGAGCGGACAGCTTAGCTCATCGCACGTCTGCCGTGTGGGCAGCTGCAGAGCTAGGAGTAGGGGCTCCCACAGCACACGCCTCAGAGAGTTCTCGGCTCCGGAGGGTGGGAGTTGGCTCATGCGCCACCAGCCCCCTTTTATGGCCTCACGCTTGGGTCCTGACCCAGGTAGAAGGAGCCAGAATGTGGAGTCTTCAGGCTTAACCCCAGAGACTCTGGGAGTCACCCACTCGCCAAGCCTCTGCCCAGGAGAGTGTCGCTCCAGGAGGGAGCCCAGGATGCTCAGGGACCTGGGTCCAGGCAGCCGTCCTAGGGGCAGAATCCAGCTGGCCGCCCCCTGTGGCCACCTCCAGAGCCCCGGCCCCAGCACACAGGCAGGGCCCTGGGCTTTGGGAGGAGACTGGCGGGTCTGCAAAGACGCAGTGTCCGGCCTCAGCGACTGCCCCTTCAGGAGCCCAAATGCTGGCTGCTTCTCTCCTGGCTTCGCCCTTCTCCCGCCTGCTCCCCACACACTTTCTACTTCTTCCAAACCCTGAGCCCCTCGGCGGGGCATCCATTCACCTCCTCCTCCTCCCCTACCTGGGGCCTCTGCATGACCTTCACTGTTAAAAGCTCACCCACACCTACTCTTTCTCATCCACCCACTGCGCCCACGTCCTGCATCCCTAGTGCGGGGAGCAGCTGGCGTGCACCCACCATGGGTCATCCTGTTCCAGGCTCAGGATGTTCTTGGGAGAAGGCATCTGACCCTAGAGCTTTGAAATAGTCGTTGATTATTCAGGGGGGCACTTGAACACTGAGGGTTTCTCAGGCCTTGCTGGGAGCGGGTGTATCGTGATGAGTAAAACCAGCATGGCACCTGCCATCCTGGAGATGCAGATGTGGGGCAAACAGCCGACAAATAAATGTACAATGTAACTGAGGGTCTGCATGGCGTACTCCTGAGAGGGGCCGTGCCCCAGCTGATGGGTTGGAGAAGGTCTCCAGAAGCGGTGGATGTGTACTGAGAGGTGTAGGAAGCACCTGCAAGCTGTGAATCGGGAGCAGCACGGTCAGGGTTGGCTTAGAAAGATCCCAGGTGGAGAACGGACTGTGGTGGCCAGGGAGGAAGTGGGTGCTGTGGCAGCCATCTGCAAGTGGGGTGGCTGGAACAGGGAGGTCCAGGCCCCCTCCTGGCACCCAGTGTGTGCCAGGCATGGGGTTACAGAGATGAACAAGGTACAGTGCCAGCCCTCATGAGCCTCCCGGCCTCATAAGGAAGATGGACCTGGAAAGAATCACTCTCCTGTGTCATCACATGGTGACAGGGCCAGCATGGAGAGAAGCAGGAACAGCGCCTTCCATTGGGTTCCGAGGGCTGGGAAAAGGTTAGCTGGTGGACAAGGGCACAGGGAAGGGGCAGGTCTTGCCAGGAGGAGTGACACCTGCAAAGGCCAAGAGGACGGGCTGGTGTGTTCCAGGAACCACAGAGCGCGGGTCTTGGCAGGGGAGGGACGTGAGTGCCTCGCCAAGGGGGTCTGGCCTTCATTCTCTAAGCCGGCGATTTTCTTCTTTCTTTTTTATTGAGATAGAATGAACGTAACGTAAAATTAACCATTTTAAAGCAGACGATACAGTGGCATTTGTTACATGTACAATATTATGCAGTTATGACTCCCATAATTCTGAACCATCACCCCAAAACGAAACCCTGTGCCCACTAGCAGTCACTCCCTATGCTAGCCCCTGGCAACCACCGGTCTGTTTTCTGTCTCTACGGATTTGCCTATTCTGGACATTTTATGTAAAAAGAATCATGACGTGTGGCCTTTTATATCTGGCTTCTTTCATTTATTATAATGTTTTTGAGGTTCATCTACATTGTAGCATGTCATTCCTTTTTATAGCTGAATAATATTCCACTGTATGGCTAGACTACATTTTGTTGATCTGTTCTTCGGTTGAACATTTGGGTGTTTCTACCTTTCGGTAAAGCAGTGTTTTGTCTTTTTGTTTTTAAACACTTATTTATCTTCTTAGCAGTAAACCCTTAAAAAAACCAGAATCTCAATATATGAAAAAGCTTGAAGAGCCACCATGCTCTGCCTGAACAGGGGTGGGGGCCAGAGCCTTCTGGGGTGTTCAGGCCATTTCCTTGAGCATTCCTTTATGGGATGCAGCAGCCAGAAGCATCATCA